AACGATGGTTTCTAACTAACTAAATTTAAGGAGAAATAGATATCAATTCCAACGATAAATATTCAAAATATGAATTGAATTATCATTGCATCTACAATCAATCGTGGATTTCTGACGGTGGATGTGGACTTAGACCAAGGTTAGTCTTTTGATTGTTTTCGTTAATTTAATTTTCATTGTTATTGATTGCGTTATTTATAATTGTTTGTGTACAAAAACCCCCAATCATTGTACGAAGCATAAAATATTGAATTACATACCCTTCGTGAGATCGACCATTACTTTCACTACTACATTAGTTTTAAAAATTAAGATATTACTTTTGGGTATCTGCGATAGCACACACCAATCCAACCGGCCCCACTCGACATCGCTCTCCAATGTTCATGACAAAAGAAAAGAGGTGGAAGGACTATTCTTTTTCCTTATTGTATTTTAGACTACTCTTGTCCTTTCTCCTCCTGCAGCATTTTGCCTGCATGAAAAGTTGTTTTATTATTATTGTTTTTCCCATAACAATAATAAACACGAGCATTTGGTTCTTTTTTGCTTAGGTCCTATTAAAGTTCTTTATTATGATATATCTTCTTCATGCTTTCTATCTCTGTTTTATTTCATGCACTTACGTTATTTTTTTGCTATCGTGTATTTCTACAATTGCATTGTTTGGATTTCTGGGTTTTGTTTATAAGAATACTGTTGGCATGAAAACCTAAGAAATTGGAAAAAAATTGTTGGAATTTTTTTTTTGCTGATTTTTCATTGTTCTTGGTGTTAATCCGTTTAAAATTATCGATTGATATAGTGAAAGAAGATGAAATACGAAAAGATTTTCTGATTTGCAAACATGGGTGTCAATTTCTTATGTGAATTTTCTATTTTTAGGGTATATATTTGATGCAATATTAAAAAGATATCATTATTTTTTTTTCCATTTTTGATATTTATTTTTGGAAAAAGTATTAGGATTTTTTATGTCATTGATTTTATAATATTTATCTACTTCAATTTTGTAATAATAAATCTTAACAGTGTAAAATGAGTTCATGTGCTTTCTTTTGTTTATTTTATATACTTTTTATCCATTTACATGAAAGTCATGAGTCTTCTTTACATTAGTGTAGTAATATTCGCATGGCACTGTTTACCTTTAATATTGTATTTTTTTAACCTTCAAAATTTGTTTTGTTTGAATATTGCTGTTATTGGTCTAATGAATCTGATATTTCACAATCTGGTTGTTACTGGAATTATGCGTTGCCCGGTATCCTTTTCTTTTAGGCTATATCACAGCGCTTAGATAGGAATGCCCAAAAGTACTGATTGCTCATCTTGGTTCTCTGAATATAGTTATGGGTACAGGATCAATAAGTTCATATTTGGTCCTGATTTTTAAAACTCTTTTTAACTTATGTTTCATGGACCTCACAACTTTTTTCAACCTTTAAACTACAGTTCAAGAGCATCTCTAATGGTGGTGTAAAATTGTGTGTGAATCTAATTTCTTCAAAACTATTTTTATATCCTCATTTATATTCCGATGGATCTCAATTCAAATTTTGCTCCATGGGAAGATCTAAAATTACTTTTGTATAATGGAAAAAAGAAGTAAAGATTTTCTGCCTAACGTTAACTTTTGTTTTTGACCTATTGAAAAGGAAAATTTAGTGTTTGCTTGGGAGAGATTATTTGAAGTTAGAATGCGTGGTTAAAAAATAGAAAAAAATTATACAAAATTATTTTATTTAGAAAATGTATGGTTGAAAATGAGTTTGAGGAAAAATAATTTTCAAATAAATTGTGCCAAACAAATGATAAGTCTTCATACATTTGAGATAAAACTGAAAGTCGACTTCTGCTCATTTAATTAGTTTTGTTCGAACAAAGCAGTATGTATTTATCATAAGTGCATGTTTGGTATTTATTATTGATAAAAACAGAAATAAATGGGATTCTTTTCTTATTTAATATTGTCAGGTGTCTAACGCAAATAGAAAGTTTCTAATTTCACTGAATAAATTAAAGGTGTTTGTAAACTAGGCAGACGATGAAAGATAATGCAATTTTCATTTTCTTTGCATCCTCCATTGAAGATGTTTTCGATCACCATTGGAGATTGCTTCAAGAGTATAATCGAGAGAAATAAATCTTCTTATGACTGAGAACAATATCTTTAAACTATTTTATTATGCAAGTTTATAAGTTTCTTAGTAGAAGAAGCTTCTCACAAGCATTGACTTCAACAACATTAACAATCAAAAAGTAAAATCTTGACGATTAGATGATTGCTGCGTTTGTATAACAAAGTAAACAAAAAGATGTCATTCATAACATAATTAATTTTAGTTTTACCTAATTAATATTTTGAAATTCATTTGATTATTCTAATTAATTAAGGTCAAACATTTGATTATTATTTGTTACGAGTTTGATTCAAAACAAATTTGAGGTTGATGATTAGCAATCCCATTTCAACAACCAATTTAGTTTGGATTTCTGCCTACTTTATCATGCAGAGATCCTATTTGTTTTTTAGATTATAAGTTGTTCAAACTTCATTTTTAATCATACATTTAATTGAATTTACAATTTTATTCATTTTTAACCACACAATTCAACCATCAATTTATAGTCTCAAATAGCGTTGCCTAAAACTTTGCAGGTGACGTAAAAAACTGAAAAGAAAAATATTTAAAGGAAAATTACTGCAAAGAAAGACAGACAAAGAATGTGGAGATAATTAAGTGCTCAAATTAATAATTTGCTTATCAATATTATTACAACCATTTTCTAGAAACTAATCAAATCCACCTCAAACCCTGCACATAACAACACAATTTGATTTCTTGTTAGTAACGAATGCAATAAAATGCTGAAAAATAATTTAAATAATTGACTTTAAATTTATTGATCGTGACATTTAAATTAATTACTTTAGATATTTCAAATTCACGAACCTAAAAAATTATACTTAAAAGCAACTTATTAATTGCTTTTTCTTTACAATATGTCTTTACATGCTATCAAAAAAAAAGGCAACTAAAAAACTACAAGATGAAAGTTCGTTATCTACAAAAGGAATTTAAAAAAAAAAATTATTTTTAAGCACGAATACACATCTTCTTTGCTTTTGAGCCCCATTTTTTATCTGAAGAATAGATTCTTTAATAGTGATTTTTTGGAGGATGTGTGATGAAAACTTAAAAGGTACTTGGGTTTACGTGTGAAATTTATTTTATTGGAAGAATACGTGATTGAAAATGAATTCACGGTAAATAATTTTATTTTCCCTTTAAAGTATTTAGACGAAGACTTGAATATTTGGCACCTTCCACGCACACGAGGAAGTCTTTCTCTCCCGTATCATTTAACGCAAGTTTATGTTATCAATTGGAAACTCACTGTTGAATTTCAATGTTCATGGAAGTTGCAGGCGGATTTCCAATTGTACCAAACGCTGTATTTGATAGTACTATGGTGACTCCTTCTCTGGTTGGCCGAGAAACCGAAGTTTGAGCCCGGTCAACTATCTTCACTTGAATTGTCTGTCCCGGAATGCAAGTGTTCGACACAGCGGCGCTGATACATCTTACCAAATATTGACGTCCACAGGAGGCGCCATTATCCCATATCCCCTCTCCGGCGGCTGCAAACAGGTTGCTTGACGGGAATTGTGAAGCAACACTGCCGTAACACGCAGTGGCTACATATAGATACAAATACAGTTTATATATATTCTTGAATCAGTGGCCAGTAAGATCAAATAGAAGAGTTGAATTCTATATTCTCAGTTAGAGGAGAACTTACGTGTATAAGGGGGATTGTATAGGCTGGCGGTGCCCACATCAGCAAGGGAGAAATTGCAGATGCAAACGAAGAAAAAAAAGAAGAAGAACATCCATATAATGACTGGATTTGACATCCTACAAATTCAATGGGGAAATAAATCGTGTTATGTACAATGTTTTAACAACGTATATTAATAACAAAATACAGAAATGATCTAATGAGCACCGGTGCTCATCTTATCCTAAGCACCGATGAGTTGGCACATTAATTCATTGGTGGATAAAGATTTTGTGAGTTCCAATCCACCAATGAATTAATGTGCCAACTCATCGGTGTTTAGGATAAGATGAGCACCGGTGCTCATTAGATCATTTCTGTATATATATATATTATAAATTTTTAAAGTAATATTATTTAGCATCATGGTGTTTAACATCAGTTTAGATGACATCACTTATAACATTAAATTAAATGTTCAATTAAATGCATGAGTAGCTCGACACATTTTTATTACATATGATATATGATAGCTAAACTATGTTAGATAGCATTATTCAAATTTTTAAGCCAGACATTAAGTAGCTCAACACATTTTAACACATAAGTTTTTTCGATCAAGAAAGAAAATATCAAATTTAGAATTCAAGAAATAAGCAATGGAAACTACAGAAACAATATGCCTCTATTCGGTTCAACTAAAAAAATTAAATTAAAATTTAAGTCAAAATCAAGAACAAATTTTAACCGCACATTGTATGGGACACACAATTTTTATCAAAATATACTAAAAATCTTGTTTTATCTTATATCGTACAGGGGCCAAGAGTTTTACGTTGATACAAAAGCTTAAATTTGAAGAAATAAAAGACAATATAGAAAAGTCGAGACAAAACAAAAAGAAACGAAAATAATAAAACAAATAACCTGTTTGGTTTCAATTAAAATTCTCAAGTCAAAATTAACAATTAATTTTAACCACACACGAACTTACAATTTTTCAACCACACATTTTATCTACTTCTGTCGAAATCTACTAAAATTTTGATTTTAATTTCTATCAAATGGACAAAATAAATAGGCCAAGAATCAATTTCCTTTTTGCATGAGCGTCAAGACACTTTTTACCTAATTTGATTGCTTGTAATTCGAGGGAAAGACGTCTGGAAGCATTCCTTTTTGTAAACATTGAAAATACAAAAGGATCCAATACTTGATCATAAGCATATTTAGCATGGACAATTCGATACTCCATTATTATTCTTTGATTCATAGAACATATCATTCTCAAATCATAGGTTGCCAATATCATTCATTCCCATTAAAAGAAAAATAAAAAAAGTCAAAAAAGTATTCAAAGAGCAAGAAAAACTAAACGAAACAACCACCTAAATTAATGAAACAGAGATATGTTCAATCAAAATGGTGGGGGACGGGAAGAGGAAGAGGAAGAGGAAGATGAAGCGTGTATGAACCTCATATCGGAAATAAAATTCAGTAAATTATATAAATTTTTTGAAATTATGGGCTTTTTTAAATTATATCATTCACAATTTTTTAATAACATATTTCATTAATTTTTATTAAAAATCTACTTTATTAATACCAAACTTGAGCTTAATAATATTGAACAAGAATTAAAACTTAAAAAGTTTTAAAATCTTATTCATTATTATGCCAGTGTTTTTCAAGGCTACACACAAGTATTGGCTGATAAAAGTGTAAATCTGACCCAAAAAAAAACTCATATCCGAGTTCTAATAGCGTAATTTATTTAGTACGAGCGATGTTTCAACAAAGCAATAAATGACATTAAATGATAATGGGAATTAAATAAGTCAAATTATTCTAACTTTAATGGAGTCCACATATTGTCATCTAAATTGATGTTATAGCATCAATGGTACTAGATAATATTACTGTTATGCAATAGGTACCGGAAAAAATTGACAGAATTTTTGTAGAACACTTGAATAATGGCAGAAAATGCACCATACAAGTGTTTCTATGAATAACTCCAATATTTTTCGGTATGAATGGTTGACTTGTTTCTATGATTGGGCAAAGTACTATTTCCAAAAGATCTATTGGGACATTTTTCAAGCCAAACCACGGGCACAATAATTGAAAAGTTAATTGAGGTTTTGATGAATTTTTAAAAGATCATAAATTTTGTAAATTTGAATCGATTTTCACAAAGAACCTCAATAAAATTGTGGAATTTCAAAAGAGTTCGTTATATGTATTTTTAAGTTTGAAATTCATTCACATCTTTTAAAATACTAATGAAATTCTTATAAATTCACTAGTTATTGAAATTCCTATATTTTAAACGATTTTATTGAAATTCATTAAAATCTGAGTTGGGGATACCTAGATTTTAATGGATTTCATTAAAATTTATTAAAATATCAATTGGGTACAACTCAATTGAGAAAGGCTTTGAAAATTGATTAAAATCTCAATTGAGGACACTCCTTGAATTAATTTATTTTCGAAACCTATAACTTATCAAATTAAATAACCACAGGAATCTGCCTCTACTTTAGTTTCATTCTCAAATCATAAGTTGCCAATACCATTCATTCCCATTAAAAAAAAATGTCAAGAAAGTATTCAAAGAGCAAGAAAAACCAAACGAAAGAACCACCTAAATTAATGAAACAGAGATATGTTCAATCAAAATGGTGGGGGACGGGAAGAGGAAGAGGAAGATGAAGCGTGTATGTACCTCATATCGGAAATGAAATTCTGTAAATTATATAAATTTTTTGAAACTACGGGATTCTTTAAATGAAAAGTTTGATAGATGTCGAAACCTATATAAGGTACAATTCTTTGGAAAGGGATAAGAAGCCAAAAAATTATATATAGAAAATCAAGAATCAGATTGCTTAATTACCTTTACAAATTACAGCAATCCACACAGAATAATAATGTGTACGTTTTGCTTAATTATATATAGAAGAAATTCCCATTCCTGTTACTAATTTGGTTGATGAACCACCTGTCCCTCCTAAAGGCAAGCTTATTCACCTTTTTTGGTGGTCATTATTGATCGTTCCTGAATTTGTATTTCAAAAATCAGTTGAATTCCTCATTTGTCTTTCACATAATAATAATAATAATAATAATAATTTATTATTTTATTTTATTTTATTTTTTTTTGAGTTCGAGGGACACAGTGGCAATGGATTGTGCTGACAGTTGTACTAATTTCTATTGTTGAAACTCAGTGATCTTGAAGCCAGATATAGGTTCAAGACTCAGAACTAGTGGTTGGAGTTCAGAATTGTTCCTCTGAACAAACTGTTGTTGAAGATCTGAGGAATTTATTCCAAAGTATTCTTACTCAGATATGAGTTTATATGATTAAAAATCGATATTATAAACTCAATACTTCTTAATACATATGCAAAGTGGCATGATTATTAATGAGAGTGGAGAAATAGGATAGGTGTTTTACAAGTGAGAAGTATGAAGAATTGAAAGTGATTGAAGTTATACGGAAAAATGTATCATTTATCTTCTCCATGATCCATAAAAACCTATAATAAAAATTGAAGTTACATATAAGATGGTAACAAAATAGATCATACTCCATTTTATGTGCTATTTAAGAAACTTTGCCTTTTAACATTGTGCATTCAAGTTTTGGCAAGCAAAAAAGTAGCTTTCGAAGACAATTATTTTTGGAATTGTCTCGTAAATTTTCTTTAAAAAATAAGAACTACGTGTATTTACAAAACATTTCATTTAAACCACTGATTCAGTTGTGACATTCATTTCAAACAAAAATCCTATGTATATTCCAAGTCATTAAATCATTAGGAATTTTTATGGATAAGTAGAATGGCCATTTAAAAATTGAACACCAAATCGAATAAATAATGAATTTCAATATGAGACGATGACCTAAATGAAACGTTTTGTTACGTTCAGTCATGAGGATGAAACAAATTAAAGTTTAGTAGCCAATAGGAAAGTATAAAATATAGTGGACATTAGTGAAATTAACCTAGTTTATAAATGGCTTATAACATAAACAAATTTAGTTATTTAGATTATTAATTCATCGTACTTAGTTAAATACACCTACAAGGTGTGGGATTCCAATCCCCACAAACCTGGGCTTTTGGGAAAGATGGTTAGGTCTCCACCAATTGGCATCAGAGCTTGCCCCACGACTTGGGTTCGAATCTCGGAAGGGGCGACCCAAACGAAGTGTCAAATATCAGCAGCCAAGGAAGGGTCGACAGGTAATTTAAATGTTGCCTTGGAGTGGGCCATCGTGGACGTCGAACTTGGGGCTATGGGTATTGTTAGGATCTAAAAGGCGCGGGGATTCCAATCCCCACAAGCCTGGACTTTTGGAAAAGATGGTTGGGTCCCCATATATATATATATATATGGGTTATTGGCGCAAAACGTCCCTATCTATGACAGTCCTTGTGGAAAACGTCCCTACGTTTGATTTCTTGGTGCAGAACGTCCCTACCTTTACATTTTCTTGCGCAAAACGTCATTCCGTCCAACTCCCGTTAGAATCCACCGTTAAATAAAAGGGTAATTGGCGCAAAACGTCCCTACCTATGATGGGTCTTGTGGAAAACGTCCCTACGTTTCATTTTTTGGCGCAGAACGTCCCTACCTTTCACNTATATATATATAGTTCAACAAAGATCAAATAAATTTCTGCATTTGATTATTACAATTTTATAGAAAATAATCTTTAATGAAAAAAAAAACATTATTTGTCCACAAAGGCACTAATTATAATTCCTAGAAGATTCATGTCACACAATTCCATTATTTGGGAAGTGATTATACAAATTTTAAATTATAAATAGATAAAAATGAAATGTAGATAATTGATAGGGATGGCAGAGGGGGAGAGTAGGCCTTTCTCATCCATATCTCGTCGGGTATTTTTGTTACCTTATTTCTTCCCTATATCCGGATAAAGAGGGACGAGACGGGATTGGAGCGGGGTGAGGTAGGGGACTTGCCCCATTTATCACCGTTTATTTTTTTTTTATTCATTTTATTTTTTGTTTTTTATGTCTTTAGTTAGTAAATATTATTACTTTTTTCCCAATTTGTTAAAAACAA